TTTTTGCAAGCTTCTTGGTTATACTTTCTGGGAACCACAGGGAGTATTTTGGTTACAGGTCCACTTGATATGTCATCATCCCTGGACCCTTATGTTCCATATGAATGTTTAACCTTTCCAATTTGATACACGAGCTAATTTACTGTGATTGCTTCTCTATAATATCAATGCCTCTTACTTTATGGGTTCCTTTCCAGTTGCAACTCGATCACTATGCTTCTTGTTGAAGGTAATGAGAAATTGATGCCACGATCGTTCCTAGGATCAATATGTTATTTTAATTATTAATTATATTTATTTATGACAATAAGACTGTTACAATGGTTTCTTCTGTTGTATTGTATCTTACAAATCAATATTCTATCAAGTATCTCAAGTTTGCTACTACTTTCTCAGAGCGTATGCATGAGTATTACAAAAATAAAGAAGTCGTGACCCAGATGGACATGGAGTGCCTAAATTATGAATGCTGTTAATTATTTTCCTTCCCCCACCCCCCCTCAATTTGCAGGTATTTTCGCATGGAACCTTTGCCGGGTTGCAAGTATGTACTTGAATGCCTTGGTCATCGCATTTTTTATACGTTATAGTTTCATTAATTGAGCACTCAAGGTCTAAATAACTAATGATCATTTTAATTGTGGTATAATTATAACAACTGAATGTATCAGTGCCCTGGTTCCTCCACAACCAGGAGAGAAAGTTGTGAATTACCCAACTCGGCCTGTGGACACGAGCATTGATATTGAAGGAACAATCAGTCTCCAGCCCTCTCAACCGGTAATGATACCCTAATATTTATGTTTTGAAGTTCTTTATGCTGCATGACTATCAGTTTATCAGCATTTGAATGGACACGGAAATTTTTTGCCCTTTGGATAAGCTTTAAATCTTCCCAACTTATATCAATCTTCTGAAACATCAGCCAACTACACGTGTTTAGAAAAGTTTATTTTACCATCGTATTATTGACTTAATGCTTTCAGCAGAGTCTCAAAGAAGATGACGATCTTGATGGGATAAAAGAATAATATTCCTATAAATCTGTATTTCATATAAGGTAGCTGATTGCATTCTCATTTCAGTTGGCAATTTTGGTGTTCCATCCAGGTAATAGATGCAAGTTTATTTGGACCATTCTTAGAAATAAACCCAATCCTGAGTTGGTTTTCAACGCCTTAATACCAAAATGAGTTTTGAGCGCCAGGAGGAAAGTCTTCACAGTTCATGGATTTGAGATGGCATTTTGTGTAAAATTATTGTGACGTGGAATAAATCTTTGTGAACCATAATAAAAATGCGTAGACATATTGCATGGTTAACGTTAGCTTTCATGCTTTATTCCCCAACTGCTTTCAAGAAGTAAACAACAATGATTGCTATGAAATATCTGTAACGAGTTATCACCTTTTAAGTATGATTTATCCCTACTCCTACAAGGGAAAGGCACTCTTCTTTGATACAGTTATGTATCTTCATGCCTGTGAAGCAAAACAACCATGTTGACAGTTTTATTCAAGCATTTTGCTACTATGAATCCGAATAGTCTATGGAAATTCTCTTGAAAGTTGTTTTCAACTTGATATGCTTTGGTAGGAACTTTACTGAATAGCAGGTAAAATTACAAATATTATTAATTACAAGTAGGTATGCTTTGGAGGGTTATGCTATTTCCGAACTGCTAATTTATGAATGTGAGATATCTATCCTAGTCCCTATGGTTGTATCTGCTGAGTAAGTTGCAAATAGATATATTTAGAAGAGAACGCCCCTTTCAGCAGTACCTTGTGAAAGCAATTGCAATCAAGGAATGGTGAGAGGAGGGTGAAGAAGGTTAGGGATCGTAAAATCCTTCCCACTAGAATGAAATGAGTATAATACGTATGTTACAATTCAATCTTATCAAACATGTATGTTGATAAATACTAGCATAAGCAACTCTAAAATGATGCTCGTCTGTGCGTATCACCTGGAGTCCTTCGCAAACTTGCACAAGCAACTGTATGAAATCATTAAGATGGCAGTGCACTTGTGAAAGATTGACCAAAATCAACCTTTTTTACTTTTTCATTTTGGTAGCATTGAGGTATTGATGCGTGAGATTTTATTTACATCAGTAATTAGTAAGGTTTATTTGTTTACAACCTTATTTGTTAACTATTAACAATCCTAGATATATTCCATAGACAAAGTGATCGTGTTGCATGACTGAGTTTCTATTTGCATGTTCTTACTTGAAGAATCATGATTAGAATATAAATAATTCTGAAATTCTATGGAGTTTACCTAGTTCAGATGATATTACCTAAATCAGCACAACTTAATTTTCTGCATGAACTGAATTTGGAAATGCGAACGGTTTCATCTTATGCATTCTTGACATGGTTGGATGCTGAATACGTAACGGCGTGCTTTACACTTATCGTATTGGCAGTGAACTTTTAAGCAATGCAGTGTGAGGCCAACTTTATTTCCTAGTTTATAAAACATCGCCACCTTTGCAGCTTATAACCTACAACTAAACTCTTTAGTGCTTCACTATGGGATAAGCAACAAAGTACGCTTAAGTTGAAAATATGAATTTAAACCCGTGACACTGTCTCTGAGAAATGACCCATACTGTATTTGTTATTCCTCACATTTTTTTGCGAACACAACTTGCAACATTTAGTGAAAGTAAATTTACGCACACTAATATGTATGTAATGCATATATAGATATTGGTTTAGGAAAAAGGTCAATTGAGTTTATTGTTGGATGAAATAGTGAGTATGACATACCATCTAACCTATTTTCGAAGCACTAAGATGCCACAAAACAGAGTATCGTGCATGCTATATGATGTTCCTCCTTTACTTCCTTAGACAATGCATTATGGTTTATGCATGCTATGAGAGTTCTATTGTGAAATGTTTGAGTTAAATTTGCTGCTGCAAGTGCCATTGAAGATTGAGCTGCCATGAAATGAATTGTTTTAAACTTATGTAATCTTCAGTGAAAACCAAATACTAGAAAATTATCAACAGTTAATCGAACTTCTTTTATTTGTCATTGAGTTTATAAGTTTCATACCTATAAACACATGCGTAATAAATGTTATAGTATATAAGGACATTTAAGGAGTACAATGTGCTTGGAATGGAAACATTTGGTTGATGAAATAATTTATATAAAAGCCGGCTCTCATAAGCCTGTCCTATCTCACCATAAGTTGCCGTGAACTCACACTATATGTTATTTTTCCACAACTTACAATAGCCACTCATTATTATATTATCCCGTTGAACGACTTTCTTTCCTCACGATTTTTTTTTTTTCTCTTTTATGTTCTGTCATGTAGGTATCATCTGGAAATAATATGTCAGGTGCCATGGCAGGGCCTCATGGGATGCAGAACAGATCTATGCCTCGTCCGATGCAGATGGTTGGCATGCAACGGATCCAACCTTCGGGAATTCCAGCCTATAATATTGCTTCGCAAGCGGGAATGGGAAATCCTGGAGGCATCCCAATGCAGCGGGGTGTTGCTGCGCAAGCTCATCAACAGCAGCAGCAGGTATTTGTGTTTTCACTTTCAGATGAAAATTATTGTTCAATGTTTATGAGTGTCCTTCCTTCGGTAAACACATTTCATATGGCTTTCTAATAGATGAGAAGGAAAGACCCGGGTATGGGGATGACTGGATATCCTCCGCAACAGAAGAGGCGCTTCTGAGGTAATAATAACACTGACAGCTGCTCGGCGTTTTAAAAGTTTCCTTTTTTTTTTTTTACATTTAGTTATTTATATTGATGGATTTCCATCACATGAATTAATTTAGATCTGTTGGTTTTAACATTTTATAGAGGGCATGCTATTAATGTCGACGTGCAATTTATATATAAGTTCTGGTGTTGAGGCTACCACGCATCGTTGCTCATCTTTTATGTTGAAATTTATCTTTTCATAAAATTCACGATCCATAATATATTATTGTCACCGTCAAACGTCTTTGTTGAGATCGTATCTGGAGATGAAGCGTTGTTTGTGCAGTGTGTTATATATTTCAAGTATTATTATACTAATATTGTGCTTCCTCCCCACCCTGTGCAAGATTTCAGCTGCGTTTCAAGGCGAACGGAATTGATGTGGTGTTAGACAATGTTTTTACAGGTTCAAGGAGAAACCTGAAATTTATTTGTTTACCAGAAGATCAATCGAGTCCGGCAGAATCGAATTTGATCTCCCTATAGCATATCAACATAGCATATAGACATATGGATCAATATTAAGGACCAGTTTCTGATTATTATATACCATCGTTATTGCGAGTACATTTCTAACATGAGTTTATGAATTCTTGTTGTGGTCCGAATGTTAATGATGCATTTTTGCTGCTGTTATTGTATAGTTGCATAAAGACATATATAAGGCTATCTCCAAACTAAAATTACATTTTGAAACTCATTTCGTAATAACTATTACTCTTAAAACATTTATTATTCGCCGACGGATATACTCATTCTCAAATTCAAATGAATATTTCGGAATCTTTTCTTTCATATTAACTTTTACAATTTCACAATACTATAGATATTTTACAGTTTCACAAACCATACCTACCTATTATTATTTTGCTCATATATTTCACAATTTTTCAAATTATACCTACCAGTTATTTTATTTTCTGACTGGAAAAATATTTGCAAAATTAATTATAAATTTGTGCAAATAAAATGATCAAAATAATATCTATTAAATATTAAAAATGCACTAGTCTCATGGTTTATGATGTATTTTATGTATTTTTTTTTTTATTTTTTTATTATTTTTTTTCAATTTTCAATGCTAATTGTGTAATTTTATGTATTTATAATTTTGTGCATTTCAAGAAATTTATATTTTCTATTGAAATGTAAAAATATTTAGAAATATTATATTTTTTGAATTCATTACCAAGCATTGCTTAGAATTCTCTTTTTTAGATAATTTAAGTTTGTGGATTGCTATTTACCGCC